TCTTCCGACAGATGTCCTCGGGAGCCATCCCCCCAAACCGGGGAACCCCCCCGCCCCCAGTCCCCCTGCAAAGGGATTCTTCCACAGTCTTAAGCACAGAGCCCGAGGGAGATAAACCGCGGTTCGCGTCAAACTTATGAACTGTGAGCAACAGACTTGTAACAAACCGAGCACCGTCCCCGGAACTGTTTTAGCCTGTTTCCTAATGTGCCCCAGCAGTCTACCATGAGAAAAAATACTTTAGACAGCTTTGCCCTACATAACGAATGTAAAAGAAAAAAAATATATAAAAAATATATATATCAAAAAAAATTTAAAAAAAACTTGTTTGAATTCATGTCTTCCTTCCTTGCAACCATTAAAGAAGTCTAAATTCAGTCGTAATATTACTTATTTTTAAAGTGTCAACTTTAAAATCAGCCTAGCAGATTTCTGTGTTTATGAGGTTTGCTATTTTCATGGGAAAATTGTTAACACAGTAACAAACTTCAAACAAGTATATATGTGTAAAAAAAAAAAAAAAAATCAATCTAACAGACACGTAGCACTGACCGAGTGATATTCTGAAACCTTTGTTATTTCATTTATTGCAGACACATTGTTAATTTCTCGTGAAGAATTCAGTTGCTATTTCCCATTGCATTTCATGTTAGCACTTCCCATTGGGAATTAGATTGGACCAGAAAAAAACTGCAAACACCTGCAGTCAAATGGCTAGCACTAGCGCTCCTCTGGATAGGTTGTAACTTCACATGTCAACCCTTCTGTTGTTTCAGAAAACTGGGTGGACTTCGATCTTCACATTGCTAAAGACTTTTATAAAGACTATAAATATTGCCATTGTAAATAAGTTTTTAGACCCAAACAAAAATAGCTGCTGTGTGGTGTACCATCGCAAAGTCTTTGTTTAGGAATTTAGGTTCCGCTCTTCACTTCAAAATTTCCATTTTAAAATTTGTTAAAGCTAAGTGCAACACAACTGTTAAATTATAACGCAATAGCTTAAAACCTACAATGTTACTTTTACATGCAATGTTTTATGCAAAATTGTACGCTTGATCCTGCAAACCGCTTGTACTTCACCAGTACCATCACTTTTCTTCTCCTTGCCCTCAGTAGCATCTGAGAATATTCCATGCATGCTTTGGAAACGAAAAGAAAAAAAAAAAAAAAAAAAAAAAAAAAAAAAAAAAAGACAATAAATATAGGTTCAGTCAGCCATTGTAGGAAAAGGCTTTACGGTATCTTAGAAAATAATAACCATTCATTAATTGTGTCTACCTTAAAATTCCTATAATGCTGACTTCGAATCTCTGGTTTAAGTCTAGAAGTGAGGTTTTTCATTTAAAGGATTATTTGTAAACCACAGCTTGATTTAGGCTTTCAGGTGCTTTCTGTGTCTTCACTGTAGTTTTGTAGTTGACTGTGGTGTTAATTTACAAAAATAAATATAATATAGCATCAAGTCTGTCTGGAAATGCACGATTTGCTCTGTGTATATCGTAATTAAATGGATAGTGTATCCTAAGGCATGTAGTGTCAAACATAGCCCATAGGTACGAGGTTTATTATTTTTTATGTCTTCAAAACAGAAAGGAAATGGTGACAGAAAGCAGGGTTAAAGCATACTGTTTTGTGAATGTTTTGTTTTGTTTGCTCAAACCTTCACATTATCTTATCCACAAAAAAAGTTCTTTCATAATCATTTGTGCCTGATTTGTCACATTAAATAGAGATTGAAACTAAATGTGTCATAATTTAACTCACTGAAAAATCAACATTATGGATATGATACAAGCATATATTCTGTTCCTTAAAACCCAGCTGACTCATGTTAAGGAAGTGAATGCAAAGGAGTTCTTCTTTTCCCTTTAATGCTGGGTTTAACAATGCATGGAAAAATTAAAGGACATCACAAACTATGTCATGCAGTGAATCCAGATGTGCTTGAGAGCCAAGTAAATATTCTAAAGCTAACAGAGCTTGAACCCATGCTGTCTGTTATGCTTTCTACTAAAGTGGTACATCAAATAAAAATTTTAAAAAACCTTCCAGTTTTTGCTGACTCCCACTCACCACTAAAAATCGATGTAATTAACCCACTAACATGCTGCTGCCATTAATTTAAGTGGCCCAGAGTAGTATATGGGGAAGTGATTGTTCAAAAGTGTTTGGAACAATATGGATACGCTGCAAGACCATTTATTTATCAGTACAATAGCCCTTATATTATTTTAATACTAAAAAATTCTGTCAGTTAATTAAGATCATATACTGATCTTTCAAACTCTTTAAGGTTTACATTTAATAGGAGAAATGGGGTTAGTAGCTAAATATTTTTATATATATTTTTATTTTATTTTAAGCACTATGAATAAATATTAATTCACATGGTCTTTCAGTGAAACCATAAATAATTTTTAATAACTTTGTAATAGAGTGGACAATATCTAGGATTTGTATGTTAATTAAAAAAATGGTACAGGGTATAAAATTATATACGTATATATATATGTATGTATGAATGTATATATACTTAGATTAAAAAACAAATGACTCACATTCCTGTAATATAAAGGTCCATTGCTAGTTTCTGAACTGACCTGTTTTCTCTATACATAAGTAAGCCCGTAAGTATGAAATGTCACGTCTGTACAGGATAAATCTCACGTCTGTACAGGATGAAATGTATTAATGAAAAAGGTTGGGGCTTACTGCTTCTGGGGATGCTATAGAACTGATTCTTACAATAACTGTATGATCAGGGATGAGTTAGATTTTTTTCTTTTGTCTTTGCTCAAAGCCATAAATAAATATATATAAAAGATTATTAATAAATTGAAGAAAATATATAAAAAATAAGGCTATGAATATTTTTTTCTTCCAATATCTTTATAACTGAGGAAGTTTTGCTTTGCCATGAAAGAACTGTTTGGTTTTCTCTTTTCTTTGTTCTGAGCCCCAGAATTGGTGTGCACTAAGTATGGGGAGGTGGGGGAAGACTGCCTGAGTAATTACATCCACTGTAGGAAAAAGAGGGCTTAGAAATTCAAGGATGCCACCCAATTTACTCAAGCAATTCTTACATTATATTTCCTATGTAGGTTAGAGGAATTCATTGTGCTAAAAGCATTTTCCCCACAAAACTCTCATTTAAGCCATTCTCCCTAACTTCTAATATTTCTTGAGCACAAATATTTGAAGTTTACTTATATTAAAAATTTTAAATATCCTGGTGGAGAATTCCAAGTAGTTGTTAGTGTAACTTAAGGAAACTGTATTCTATCACATTTTCACTTTATCTTACTATGTGTTCTAATCCCAGGTGCGGTACCTCTGAACTTCTGTATAATAGTTGAGATTTCAAGGCAACATTGATGTGGAAGTAGTGTTCATTAATTACATTTTAGGTCATTGTAAATGAAAAAGAGCATAGTTCACTCAAACCAATAGTAGATTTTTTTTTTTTCATTAAATTCAGTAAGATCAATGTAATCCTAGATTGATAAATTTTAAAGCAAGTTTGAATAGTTGTATTTTCAAGTTGCACCCTAAAGTGTGTTGTGAATTCTTTTAGTGTTTTGTTTTGGTTTTTTTTTATTTTGCTTTACTAAGATATAGCTCTAGTTTGATTCTAGTCAATTAAATTATTTCCAAAAGGATCAGCAATATAACAGAAAATTGTGGCTTAGCAGCAAAATTCAGTTCTGTCTACATTTGACCACTGCACACTCAACCCAACAAAGGGTTGGTTTTCAGTTATATTTCATATCACTATATATGATATCATTATGTACCTACACAACAATGTATATATATCTAATATCTATATCTACCTCAGTTTACTTCCTACTTTCCCTTAATTTTAGTTTAAAATGTATCAGCAGAACTGGAACCAAGGTAAATTTTATTTTAAACAGCAAACTTTCATGTCTTGATGCTTGAGTCATAAGAAGTAAAGCCTAATGTTTCTGTTTTCAAAATGTACTCACACTGACTTCAATATTTCTATCCATGTGAGTTCTTTTCTACTTTATAGGTGACATTGTCGAATGAAGAAAAATCTTGTGTTTTAAAAGTAAGATGTTTGATTTTTAAACAAACCTGCAATTCAACTGGTCTAGGAATATGCAGTGACATTAATAATTTCTGCTGTTCCAAAGTCCTCTGTTCACACAAATAAACATTACAAGATAGGAACAAAAAGGGGTTGTTTAGAAATCATAAGTCTGAGCTACAAGCATTATCTGGTAGAGCCTAGAATGTGCTACAAGAATTGGGGTGCAAATTTATTTGTTTAGTGGATTTGGCCTTTCCCCTCCCTTCTTTTTTTTTAACGAGGGAAGAATAAGAGCATTAACATTGCCCTAGACCGTATCCTCTGAGAAATACATGTTGTTAATCTTGAATCTAGACATTTTTACCAACAATTAGTACCCAGGGCTCCTTTGCATACTTAGCAGATTGAATCACCTACTTGATTGGTGTGGTGGGTCATACAAGCAGATGGTGTAATTTCTCATCCATGGTTACATTTCCCTGACCTCTGTGAAGACATGCAGTATCTTAAAAACTTACGGTAGCACTGAATTTTTCAGGTAAATATATGGGAACATCAGAAGGAGAAACACAGTGACAATCGACAAGCAGAGTATCTTCTACAGATATTTTAAGATACTGGTACGAGTATGTGCACCCAGTTTAAAAAGATGTATGTCATGAGAGTGAAAACCACATTTGCCAACTCCATTAGATGATTTAAGATGTACACTGTGGCTCAGGTGATCCTTGGCCTATGAATTGCCAGACTGAAATGCAAATTTCAGCCAAAACGAAACTTTGTCCCATCATTGAAACTGTTCCAGTTATTTCACCTGCTTGCAGAAGTTACCATATTTTTTACCATTCTCCAGTTTTGCGTGTCAGATTGCAGTATGGTTCCCGCTATGCTCAGCATCCGGTGCTGTGTTAGTTCTTGCTGAAGGGTCATTGGCAAAAGAACTGCAGACCAGAAGAGAAGAGAAGATGCCAAATGCCAAGTCTATAACCAGTCCAAACTAGCCTGTGCGTGAAGGGGAAGCAGGTACTTGAACCATTTCTCTGGAAAGTCAGCAGGCGCCTGCAGGGACTCTCATGCCGA